AAGCTACTGCCACTCTCGGAATTCCATTCCGACCCTTTTGTAAAAAATCTTGCCTACCAACCGGAAATCGCCAAAATCTCAATTTCGCCAATTCAAGCCTAAACCTTCCACGAACTTCTAAAATGCATTCCGATCACGCTCCTAAGTCCTAAATCACCTAATGGAGCTAACCAAATCATAAAATTGCTGATCCGAGATCATACATAAGCAAGTCAAATATTGGTCAAACCTTTCAAATTTCAAGCTTCAAACTGGGAGCTGTTCTTCCAAATTCATTCCGATTACCCTGAAACCAAAACCAACAATTTACATAAGTCTTATTACATCATACGGGGTAAGTCATGCCCGAGAACTGACGAGCAATGTGCAAAAACTCAAAACGATCGGTCGGGTCGATACAGGGACAAAACGCAAATACACCTCGAATACTCGGGGACTGGCATCGATAGTCAACACGTCTAAACTGGAATTCATAAGACCTCAAAGAGGCATCCATCGACGTAAAGGCCAAGACCATCAAACTCGGGGGCTGACATTTCGAACAAGTTCAAAATGTTATTGGGAAACAAGTCCAAGAGACATACCCGAAGACTACGGCCATAGTAAAGGCTACGGACGAAATAAAGGCTACGACTCAAATAACGCGGCTCGGAGACGTCCGAATTCTGCAATAAAAATAGGACTTTGAATTCTCAAAAAACCGGTTAAGTAAAGGCTATCCTCGACAAAATAAGGCTTCAATAAAATCAGCCCTCGAAAAACCTTACGAGGTATTGAATTATTCAAGTACAAACTTGTTCTAAGGAACTAAAAACAAAGGGTTCTGATCGACACCGAACCCTCAGAAAACCCAATGGGTAAAAAATGCGTGCCAAGGCATAAATAAATTGTTACTAAGTCTTCTTAGCCGAAAAGGGGAAATAATAGCCATCTCTTAGAGGCCATAATGGCCCGATCTAAAAGAGCCTAAGGGCCGATACACTTAGGGTTCGAGACCTTATCCTCATCTAATTTGAACCCAAGGGTTCGATTATCCCAAGCGTAAATAAATAATAGCTTGATTATGGCTCGGGGGACTCACCATTATCTAGCACGGGCCCGTAAGGGTCTATGTCCCAAAGTTTGAACTTATTCGAACTCGACCATGGCAATTTCGAAGAAAACATTTGAGATAAAATCTCAAACACACAATTAAAAAAAATGAAGTCATTTCAAGAATTTTGCAAGGCAGAAAATATCGAGAAAACATTCAAGGAAATTCTTCTTTTATATATACTTGAAAAGAGATATATACAAGAGACCGATGAAAGGTGTTACAAAAAAGAACAATACAAAAAGAAAGGAAAATCCTATCTATGCCCAGGGCTGCTCTCTCCCTCGGGAGCAGCTTCCTCTTCGGGCCCAGCTTCGTTATCGGACCCGCTTCGGCTGCCTTCGGCATCATCATCGTCGGAGGAGGAGACGAGGAACTTGGCATCGGCTTCAAGCGCTTTTTCTTGGGATATATCCTCGGTGAGGTCGAAACCTCGAGCATGGATCTCTTCGATTGGCACTTGGCCAAATCACTGATCCGTTTCAGCCGAGGCCTTCGTCTTCTCGACCTCGGCCCTGGCTTCAGCAACCTCAGCCCCGGTTGCGGCAAGTTTGGCCTCGAGCTCATCAATCTTCTTGGCCTAGGCCAAATTTTTTACTTTGACTCCCCGGAGCTGGGTCTCAGCCGAGGCCAGTTTGGCTAGAGCAGCCTCTTTCTCAACAGCAAGCCGATCCATGTTTTCCTTCCACTGGTTGCAGTCGGCCTTAACTTGATCGACCTCCCATCGAAGCTGCCCGATCATCTCCAATTTTTGCTGCAGCTAAGACACTGAAGTGTTAGCCTCCACAGTCGGGTCAAGTATACCATACTCTTGCAAAATGATAGTTACCTGCTTGTCAAACTCGGACTCATTTTGACGAGCTTTGGCCAAGTCTGCCCGAAGGTCCTCGAGCTCCTCCTCCTTTTGGATGCAAAGGAGCCTCAGGGCCTTCCCTTCATCCGAGGACTTCTTGAGCTCGACCTCACATTGGCTCAGCTCGGCCCTAAACCTGGTAATGGCCTACACAGAAAAAGAGATATCACTTAGTATCAAAGGAGAGGGAAAAATTGCAATAATAAGAGCTAATTCTTACTCGAGAGAAAAGACGACGAACCTCTTTAAAGAGGGTAGATGTATCGTTGAGGTCGGCGGCATCATCGACCCTAGTAAAGCAGTCCCAGAAAGGATCTTCTTCACCGGGGACTCTGCTCGGGTCGGGCGTTCGCAGAGCTTGAGCTTCCTTTATTGCCTCAGAATAAGATGGTAGAGGAGGGGAGTGACCCATTGTCATGGCCCCGAGCAAGTCGCTCGGAGCACTCTGTTCAGCCTCGGGGATCTCGGTACTTGCCCACTTTTGTGTACTCATTGAAGGCGGGGGAATGATATCGATCTCAGGTGATTCGGGGGCTTTGCCTGCGTTTTTCTTCGGAGCCTCCCCTTCACGAGGCAGGGTTTCCGGTTCGGAGGACTTGATGGCCTCAATTGGCTTCCTGGTTCGAGTCACCAACGCCGATTCTTCGCCCTCGTCCTCTTCTTCGTTATTCAGTTGATGGAGTGAATCTATGTCCACTTGAATGAGTTTCCTCCTTTGCCTTTGAGCAGTGGCTCTCTTATCTTGGGGTCTTCGGGTTTCGAAGCCCTTTTTCTCTTGTTATCTTTCCCCAATTTTGGAATTGGGAACTCGGTCTCTTCCCCGGGCGGGGCTGGCCTCATTTCGGAGACATCTCCAATGCCTGCATAAATGAAAAATAGGCATAAGTGAGATAACATCTCCAATAAAAAGGAAAGAATCAAAGACCCGGGAGAAGAACTAATCATGGTGCTTGGCCTCCCATTTGCCCCTCGACAAGTCACGCCATTTGCGCTCATCATACGAGGAGGTGGCAACTAATTTCCGGACCCAGTCTTCGAGGTCAAGGATCGCCTTGGGAATCAACCTTAAACACCATCAAGAGGATGTTAACCATATCTTAGGCAGTAGATAAATTTTGAACCCCAAGCTTAACTTAGCTCACTATCATCCTTATTCACATCACAACACCATAGAAGGGTTATTCTTCACCTTCACCTTTGGCTAACTTTGATATTGGATTATGGTATATTTTTTTGGAATTTGTTTGGAGCCTTTGGGGAACTGTTTGGGAGGGTTTGGAAAGTATGGGTATGGAAGGAGGTCGAAAAATGAACAAATTTCATTCCAAAAACGAGATAAGAATAGGTGAAGGTCGGCCACCGACCAAGTGGGTCCCATAGGGGCTGTCTGTGCAGTCTAGCAAAAACGTGAATATCTCTCTACGCCAATGTCTTTTTGACAAATGGTTTAATGAGTTAGAAACTAGACTCGTTTTTCTTCGATTTGGTAGGTATGTTATTATGTAATTCCAAGTATATTAGGAGAAAAACTCAGCTACATTTGACCTAATTTATAGAACATTTATGAATGTAACTTGTGATGACGTTTGCTAACTTTTGTTCCACAACTCACTTGACTTCAAAATGTTATACACGACTATCATACGATTAAAATAAATCATAACATAACCTCCTTATCATGTAAAGAACCCTAGTATCACCCCAAAAGTACATGTTATAACATTCCCAATTTGTCGACATTCGACGATACTTATTTTATTCAATTTGTTTAGATTCTAAGCCGTTCAACCCTCTTGGTACTTGAATGATCTTCAAGATATGTAATCTCCAAGGTAACATGATTAACTTACTTTATGTACTTTCAAAGACAATCTCATTTCTGAGCTTTCAATTGACTTACGACGTACTCTCACGTACAAAAACATGGGGTGTAAGTCCTGCCATTTTGATAAAACGTGGAGCTAACACTTCGTATATTTTTTTTGTTTCGTTTAAATAATTAGTAGTCTCGAATAAAATAAATAAAAATAAAAATATAGTTTGTAGTCTCAAACCGCAAACGGTAGGAGGATATTATTTTGATTAATGTGTCACCATTTGAATTTTTCAATCAAGTAAATTATAGTTAGACTGCTGATTTTCTGGCGAATTAGGCCCAATATGTCAAATGCTACTGAAATTAACTCAATCCCTTCACACTCTTTAAACTATTATGATCAACTAGTCTTAACGCACGTGTATTATGCGTGTACTTTGTTACAAGGAATAATTTTTAGAAGTCACATAAATATTATATTAAAAATTATGTTTGAGTTATAAAATAAGAATTTAAGCACCTGAAATTGATGAATAAAGTATTTCAGCACAGTAAGAAATCTAATTAGAATAATTTGTTTGTATCAATGATTTTGATAATAACAACAAAAACTTAAAAAATTATTTACACAATAGAGTATAAAAAAGAATAAAAGCTTTTAAAGGATATATTCCATGCACGTAATGTAAAAAATAATTATTTAAGATAGAGGAATATTTATAATATATATATATATATATATATATATATATATGCTTGAAAACTTTGGTCAATTATTTTGTTCCATCATTATATATGCCTGAAAATTATTTTTATTTTATTTTTTACTTTATAAATAAGATTTAATTATTATATGGGTAAGTTCATAATATATATAGAGTAAAAAGAGAAAATTATAATATTAAGAAAGTATTAAAAAACGATCGATAAATTTAAAGGGTAGAAAATATATTTGGCTACCGAAAGTTTGAGAAATCTAGTTGAGTAACCTTCTAAGTGATATAGAATAGTTAAGTGACTTTTTTATTACAAAAAAAAAAACATAACTTCACTAGGTAAGCACGAATAATATATATATATATATATATATATATATATATATATATATATATATATATATATATATATATATATATATATATA